CATTCATATATCAATAAATACTTAATATTAATTCTTATTTTTAGTATTTTTCCCTTTTCAGAATGCCCTGAAGGATATTATGGCTATAATTGTCAGGACATGTGTAGTATTAACTGTGGAGTCTCTGGTAGATGTAACAGAGTGACAGGAGAATGTCAGGATGGATGTCAGGCAGGGTGGAAGGACCTTAAATGTGACAAAAGTAAGCATTTGGTATACAAAAGGTAATAGATAAAACACTCGATGTCATTTTTCAGAAAGACAAATAAATAACCAAATATGAAATTTGTCAATAATAAGTATGGATTATTGCTGCAGGGGTCATTTGAAATTGACAAAAATCTGAGAACATTGCTAGAAAGATTACTCTTCCCTCTCGAGAAAGATTATATATATAAATAGATATATCTCTTTTTTTTTTTTGTATTTCTGTTATTTTTTATCATGAAAAACCAATAATCATTTTATATGTACATGAACTTTCCTGTAGAACATACATAATTTTTTTTAAAATGAGCACAATTGGTTAATTTTTTTTATTATGACTTTATATAAAAATGTAATAAATAAAATTCTAAAGGCAATATCTAAGTATGAATCTTTTATATTTTAAAAGAATGTGATGGAGGAAGTTTTGGACTAAACTGTACTCAGTCATGTGGTATTCGAAATTGCTTTAGAAATGAACAGTGTCATCACATTAATGGGACATGCTTGAATGGCTGCAATAAGGGTTACCAAGGAGACACTTGTACACAAGGTGACGTATTTATAAAATCCTTTTATAAATACTGCAGATTATAATTGTACGATTATTGCTAAGCAAATGAAGTGAGCATCCCCTGCTGACAGGCCACACCCGCCGTGTGCTTCTTGTCATGTATAAACTCCTGGTGACAAAGAAAAGCTGCTACATGAATAAGGGAAGTTAACAATTAAATTTTTTAAAATCAATGAATTACAACAGTACTGAAAGGCATAAATTTACATGTATTAGTGCCGTGCTGGAATATATCACTACCATTAAATGGTCACTCATTCAGATATCGATTAAAATAAAAAAAAATATAGTAAATTACATTATAATACAAAATATTGTTTTAGAGGGGGGGTGTCATTTTTTTTTTAATAAAATGAAGGACCATCACTCCCAGTAAACGTTTCTTGACATAGACTCATCCCCGTTGAAGGATGGATTTTAATATAAAAAAGTAATTCATTGCCCCCCCCCCCCCCAAAAAAAAATGCACTTTTCAACATGTACTTAGAATGGAATTAAAATAAAATTCCAAATGTGATCGTAGGTTTTAACATTTTTACTGAAATTTTTATGTTATCCAACGTATTTCAACCTTTGCGATATACAGAAATTAGGGTTTATATGTATAAAATGGAGTTTGTCAATTTAACCTGAGAGTATAATAAATAGAATTCATCTTTCTTGTACTTAAGCACAAAAAAATGAAAAAAAAGATAAACATATTTTACATATACTGTACAATACGTTTAAAGTAATTCCGGTTATAATGATTTGACGCTTTTAACTAATTGTGTTTTAAGCATACTGATATGCTAACGAAAATATCCCATTCGTATACGTATATATCAAGGTAAAGCAAGGCACTTCTTAAGAAGTATGTTTTACTGTATATGTCATTGTGATTTATTTTGATTATTGTTTCCAGTGTGTCCAAACAGACGGTATGGATACAACTGCGAAGAAACCTGTACCAACTGTAGCGTTGTCAGGAGATGTGATACAATATCAGGGAAATGTAACGGTATATAACCACAATCCATTATTGTCATGAAAATTGTATATAGCAACCAAATCTGATTTTGTTTACTAGATCTTGAAAATACTCTGAATACAATGATGTATTCTTAAAGTATCAGTCACATTATCCAGCGATGGGGTATACAATGAGAAACCGATTCGATTTTTGATAAAAATGACGTGGTTGCCGGCCGAAAACTTAGTAATCGGACGGTAACAAGTCGGCGAATCGGTGGGAGTCATCGGTAGAAAAAACACAAGTTCTAGTTAGAAATCAGCGATGTCTTCACCGATGTCCTACATCGCTCCTCATCGGCAATCCATCATTAACATATCTTTCAAGGATTGGCCGATGTATGAACGAGCATCATCAAGTGTCCGTTGAATCTGAGGTCATCAAGGGATTGAGTGGCTGGCAACAGACATCGGTCGATCATTGGTCGTTGTTCGACTAAAAATTGGTCCATAGTCGACCGACGTACAAACGGATGAGCGATGTAATATACATTACCCTGGAGCATCTTTTTATTATTAGCAATGCATCGCTGGCCCTTTGTAAGTTCGGCCGGCAACCACGCCATTATTACCAAATAACTCATTGGTTGCCTATCGTATACCGCATCGCTGAAAAATTTGACTGATACTTTAAGGATTACTTGGCCGATGTCGACCGATGTTGGTGTATCGCTCACACCACGGATTACTACCGATTACCACCGGTCTACGGCCAGCGGCCGGGAAATGTGACTAAAGCCTTAAGAGTACAAATTTCTCTTTTACATGTAGATATTAAAATTGCATTGTTTAATGCTAATGATGAAAAGGATACTGTCTAATGTTACATTGATAAATGCCCCAAGTCAGCTTGGGATAATACTTTATACTGTGAAACGTAAAACTGATTCCCACAAAAAAAGAAAACAAAACCGAAAAAAAAAAACAAACAAACAAAAAACAAAAAAAAAAAAAAAAAAAAAGAAAAAAACATAATGTACTTTTAGACTCGTCTGGTCAGCAGATAACATTCTTGAATTTTTCATCTGCATAATAAAGTACTTTCTTGAATATTTTTTTTCTACTAGATAGATCGTTTTTTAAAGTTATGTTAAAGTTATCACGTTATGAGGATCTTGTACAATGAATTATTTATTTATAAATAACGAAAGCCTTACCAAAATCGATCAAATAATCCAGCATACATGTAATCTATGAAAAATGAATTGAAATACTTCAGCTCTTACTGTATTTGACTTTATATGTATATAAATATTTCAAAAAATTAAAATAAATATATTTTTTAATTTAATCAAATAGTATTTTAATGTAAAAGGATTTTGTTAATTTTGATTTTATTTTAACTTTTAAAATATACATGGTATATATATTTTTTTAACTTTTGATATTTTTGGCAAGAGATAGATAATTTGTTTACTTATAACATATATATTATAGATAAAAATTTATTAAAAAAGGACTTTAGTTTAAATTACATTATTGCAGTGTTTAAAGGATCATTAGATTCTGATACAAGTGAAGAAAACCTTTATTTTGTGTATGGAATGATATCTTCTCTTTGCTCAAGTCTTGCCTTAAATGTCGTTTTAATGATCTGGTGAGTTTTAATTTGTACATTCTCTTTCTTTTAACTTCCATCCTAGTTGATGTCAAATATCCTTAAAAATCTATTTCTTAATTTAAAAAAAAAATTAAAAAAAGTTAAAAAGAAATAAGATATATTTTAGGAGCTGTAGAAAGAAAACGCACAAAGGAAGGAATCACCAGGAGAAAATAACTACACAGATACCTATAAATTTGAATGCACAAATCCAAGCTGAAGAACGTGAAGTACATAAATATGACTCTCTGGATCAAACAGAAATATCCACAGAGCCTTCAAAATTGAAAACACAGATCAACGACGAGGATGAAGATAGAGTAGTATATGAAGATCCAGAGCAAACAGAGAAATCTACAAAGCCTTCAAAATCACAGAAAACACAGATCAATAAGGAAGCTGAAGACGGTGTAGTTTATGAAGACCCGGATCAAACAAATCAACAGTCCATTTATGACTATTAACATCTGAGTTATGTTGCAGTATTTAAATATGAGCCTTATATACATTATATCTTCAATGCAAACACTTTATTTATACATATAAGTGCTTGTGTTGATTAAAACAAAGAAAGAAGAGAGCATCCAAATCTCTAATTACAAAGCTGTCTGGGTATCAATGTTCAAACTGTTGTTTATTGCTCGATATTTCTACTTTTTTACTCAAAAAGAAAAGTGAAGAATTATCATGATTATCTTTGCTAATATTATATGTTATTTTTATACAATTAATAGTTATCTCAATACTTTTATCGTATCTCTTTCCAGTATAATAAAATTTACATTTACCCCAAATACAGTCTCCACTTCTCGCACAGGAAAGGGGGCAAGTCGATGAGCATAAGTGTGCACACGTATCTCCCCAATATTCTGTTTTAAATCCATATGTACAGTAGTCCTTGAGTTACATTTCCCAATATTGCAAAGGGGGTAGCACTGTTTTCCTAAAATAAAATAATAAAATAAAAATAGCAAATACGATTTTCTTTTGCTTTGAAAATCATTGACAGTGATGTAAGCAACTTTTATGTAAGTTGTTCAATTTTTTCATTTTAATTATGAAATGAAGGTAACTACCTCGGTATACTAACAAATGTGGATGACTAAGAAAAAAAGAAATTTGCAAACTTCAATTCAACATCTTAAAAATGAAAAGGATTTCAATAATTGGAACTTTGAACTTACTGTCTCATTTGATCGTAATGGTTTTCCTTACAGCTTGCTGCACAAAGAACTTATATACACGATCCAATATTAAATGTGAAGCATTATAATCGTGCAAGAAACCTTTTCCCTCTGTATTATTCTTTCATAAAAGATTTCAGAAGTGTAATTCAAAGGGGGCGTATTTTTTTTCTTCATACAGAACGAAACATGATGAGTTTCTGAAATACTCTGCCGCCGATGGTAACACTATTGAAGTGGGACGTAGACTGAAATGGTTTACACTTACTCTTGACAGCGCAATACATGTAGTTATGTGCTAGAAAAATGTTGAAAACAAACAGACAGACATGACCAAAAAAATATACCCCCTTGGTCTTTCGATCCAGGGGCGTGAAAAAAAATGCAAGTGGAATTTATTTTATTATATTGGCAATTTAGCACAAGCACGCTTATTAGAGTATAATGATATATATATTACCCAAATATGGACTACGTCCAAAAGTTAAAAAAAAATCCTACGATGGGTCTGTCTAACACTTTTCTGCTAAAATACTAGCTGGCTGCGGCTGTTTACAACTTTATTTGAGATATTGATTGTGACGTTACAATGCCGCTGCACGCGAACTGACCCTCCAGTGAATTCGGCTTCAAATCCAGTGAATACGTAATGTTATGAACTGATTGCGCTCGTATAGATTATATCAGGAATCTAAATAGTACTATATATAAAAATCATGCTTACTTATGAGAAGACCAGAATTAACCGTGAATTCGTTCATAAACTTTTGATTTGACAGTCCATGCATTTTGCCATGCAAGCACGATGTATTGCAAATCTGTATCAAACAATTTGCTTCGTCGTTTTGCTTTTTACGTATTAAATTAAGAGGTGGTAAAAACAATTACAATATATATATTTAAAGTATTTAACTAACGGTAATATTTTTTCAAGTTGCTCATGTATTTGGCTAGTTATTTAAAATGTTGTTTAAATTGTATATATTTAGTGATTTGATCGTATTTATGTTTTCAATTGGATTAATTTAATAATTAATGTATATACTGATTGATTTTTACATTGATATGCTAATAAATCATATCATTACTTATAAAATAGTAAAATCAACATATGACACAATTTTACTGGGTGCTGTAGGTATTTTAGATGAAAATTAGTGAATTATGATAACATCAATATTACAAAGTACATAAATTTAATCACAGTTAGGCATTTTTACATGCCTCTAAAAGCTATCAAAAGGATATTATTATTTCCATTCTTGAAAAAAAAAATTACTTTATTACACATTGTCTTCCCTACCTAACATGCATTGATGGCCCTGGTAGTCCCTTTTGCATCCATCAAAGCAAGTACCGTTTTCGGTATGACAGTGTCCACCAAGACAATTACTACTACACTTCAATTTTTAAAAATAAATGTACACATGTTTGTCAAAGGAATAATAATTTTATATATTTATCCTTGGGAATAACTATATGAATACTATCAAGGGGGCAAAAATCAACAAAGCATAATCAATTGAATGATAAATGCACTTAAATAAATAAGGTACTCCTTTAGCCTCACATTCTGAAAATCAGGCATAAACTAATTGAATGCATTAGATATGCGATTCTCCACAAATCATATAGCAGAAACAGTTGATCTGAAATGTCAAAGATAGCAATTCTCGAAGAGTTGTTCGTAGTTGTTCGTAGAATTTCAACATTAAAGAAATCAACCATATTTATTTATTTATTAATTGATAAATCGTACAAGTAATATCAGATGTTGCCATTATTTTCACCTAAACTATGATAAGGACGATAAAATATGCATCACATATTATAGTAGACGACAGTTTCAAACCGTTGCATCACATTTTTCCACCAATGACAATATGTGTCCATGGGCGATATATATGAAATGCAGTATACTAGTATATGTTATTCTTTAAATAAAGTCGACTGAGAAAGAAGAGTATAAGTCAAGGTGACAGAATCCGAATCAGGACGCCTTCCTGTGACGTCAGGTGGGTAGAAAACGTATATACGGGGGTAGAAAACTGTAAACGGATGTCATATTTGCTTCTTTGATTTCAGGCGCTTTTTTTACCGCTAAAAATATGTCCTTCTACCGCAGAGAGCAGTTGTCGAGAGGCTTAATCCTGTCTCCGACGTCCTAGTATCCTTTCTGTTAATGTTTTGCTCAGGGGAAAATGAGTTGCGAGGTAAGCATTGTGTAGGAAGCATTGTCGTTTTAATAATAAAAAAAGGATTGGTAGAAGTTGTGTTTACGGACAAGTCGAGATTTCAGCTCACAGCTCTTGTGCTTCTATTTGGGCTTACAACTGTGCTATGGAATGTTACTTTGACGCCTTTGTTATTCAGCGCCACAAATTTGACAGAGGGAGCTTTATGGTCAGGGATGGAATGACAACACAGAAAAGGACTCCTATATGATTCTTATTATTATCATTCTAAATTAAACTATGGCGCAAGAAGTATGCAAAATTCCGATATTCGCGATATTTTTTTGCGGAATTCGCAACGATATCACTGAATAACTTAAAAACATAGAGCTTTCTGTATCACATATTTAATACACAAGTTGCACATGTACACTTATTAAATAATTTGTACATTGAACTATAAATGATATCGATGATCCAAAGCAATTAATGAGTATTGAATTTAACAAAACATGTAAATGAAAGTGTTCTGAGACATACCCCCTTCCAACTCATGAACCTACATACATGTAAGTACATACATTGTATACTTACACTGTAAAAAAAATAACTTGTTAATGTCACAAAAAAAAAAACTACATGTAGTAGATTCACTGTCCATACAATCACTACCTTAATAGTAGTTTTACCAGATATCGGTATATTTACTAGATAGGATTAGTAAATTTAGAATTGTTGAGTAACTTTCACTAGGTATCTAAGTATCTATACGACCCCCGCTCCACAACTCACTATCTTAACCAGTAAACGGAAAGTTTACTAATCACGACCAACGCTTTACGAAACACACTAGTTAAATTCATTAGGTTTTTCTTTCAGTGTATTATTAAACAAGGAGCCCATGGTCACATCGCTCATATAAATAGCTTTAACCATGCCCATGTTGTTCTTTACCAGTTTCCCCCCTTGTAATACCTTAAGTGACCGAACTCTTCCCCCGGGGGTCATAACTTGGACAATATAAAATCTACACTACCCTATAATACTTTTGCATAAGTTTCAGCTTTTCTGGCCCTGTAGTTCCCGAAAAGATTTTTCAAAATATTTCCTATATATTTTTATGTAAAAATTGGGTTCCCTATAGTGGCCTTACCCTACCCCCGGGTCATGAATAATTTGAAAAATTTAGAATTTACACTACCATAGGTTGCTTCCACAAAAGTTTCAGCTTTTCTGGCCCAGTGATTCTCGAGAAGAAGATTTTTTAATTTTTTTCTTATATAGTTCTATGTAAAACTTTAATTCCCTACAGGGGATACCATATTGTGGTCCAGCCCAAGCCCGGGGGTCATGAATTGAACAATTTCAAATCCACACTACCCAAGGATGTTTCCACATACGTTTCGGCTTTTCTTGCCCAGTGGTTCTTGAGAAGAAGATTTTTTATTGACCCCATCCTTTTTTCGTTTATTCTTGAGTATCTTCCCTTGTGAACTGGCCCTCCATTTTAATAATTTAAACTTTCTTTCACCTAAGGATGCTTTGTACCAAGTTTGATTAAAATTGGCCTAGTGGTTCTTAAGAAGAAGTCGAAAATGTTAAAAGATTACAGACGGATGCACGGACGACGGACAAAATGTGATCATAAAAGCTCACTTGAGCCTTCGGTCTAGGTAAACTAAAAAGTGTAAGCTACTAAAAATAGAATTTATGTGTTCAGTAATAACAAGTTAAATCTGATTTCTTTAAATACATGTAATTTCTGTTTACAATTATATACATTTATTTTGTAAATTATACATCTGAATCTTCGGAATGAATCCCTGGTGGGATATATCAATAAGTCATCTATGTATAAAATTTGCAATATTGGTCTCGGTTGACTAAAGTATTTTCAAACTTTTGAACTAAAAAAATAGCAGTTAGGAATAATAAAATACTGTTATGATAGATTGACCTTTTATTTTTCGTATGTATGTACGAGGGGTGATCAAAAAGTTCGCAAACTAATTGAATAACTTCCATACAAGAAATAATATTTGGTTTTAATGTTGCTTATATTTTAAATTAATCCTCCCCGATTTCAATGCACATCAACCACCGTTC